CCAAAAGACTAAATACTAATAATATATAATAAAAGGCGAGGGTTATGAAAAATTCAAACCAAAGTGAAAAGATTGTTTGTGAACAAAAGCATAAAGGTGAAGGGTCAATGTTGTAAGTAGTTTTTTAAAACCAATATAGAGGATCAAAATTGACAAAAAAAAGATGTCACTTTAGTGTAAAATCTTTCGTAACTTTAATATATATATAATAATTATGTATTCTAAGATTCACATTAACAATTCAGTATCCATATTTTGTAATAATATTTTATTATTCATAATTTCATTTTATTATTTTTGTCATGTAAATACCATATCAAGGAGTCATAGCTAAGGGTAAAAAACAAACCAGATCATCCAAGTTTCAGGGTGTAATGACCAAAATAAAGAATTATCCATTTTGACATATCTTGCTGCATGTGATTATTTTGTTATAATAAATATAGGAACCAAAGCTTCTACCTGATAGAGTCAAGCACTAAAGTTACTAACCATCCACTGCCTTTAGTTTTATAATAAAATATTTGCTGTTCAAAAAAAAAAAGTTACAAACATTCAAGTCATTGAAACACTCAATTATTTAGTTTAAAATTCAAATAAATAACTTTTTACATCTTATTGCATTAAACAAATTTATAGTGGCACAATGACGTTTACAATGATGCACATTTAACATCACACAGACTTCTTTTTCTTTTTTGAAAACAAAGTGTCACCTAATTTGAATCAAATTATATAGAAGAGTAAATTACCGTGTTGGACATTGGTACATATGGTTTGGTCAGTATAACACTTTTGTTCCAATTTTTGACATGGTCGATAGCTCGGATCTTTGTGGTTTTAACAAATTACAATGTCCGTCTCTTGTATATATATAAAAAAAAAAATGCTATTTTACATTTTTAATTTTTTCTAAAAATTTTCTTTTATCCATTTATATTTTTTAATAAAATAAAATTTAATAAACCCAGACCATATTTCACACCCCCCCGGGTCCCACATCCACCCCACTTTTTTTTTTCTCTTCTTTATTTCCGCCTCGAAACCCCACCACACTCACCTACTTCCTTATTCGTCTTCATTTTTCTTCATTCTTTTTTCTCTCCTTACGACACACACCCCTAGGAACCACTTAGGCCCGTCGTTGTACTCAAATATTAATCAAACATTGTCCAACTTGGACCGATTCAACTCAATAAAACCAACAAATTAATTTTTTTAACTAACAATCCGGTTTGAATAAAAAAAATCAGATTCGGGAACCATTTTTTTAACTAGCAACCTAGGAAAAGTATGAGAATATGTTATATCAAGCATATGCGTGAGAAAGATCCTAGAACGCAAGTCTAGGAAAGCCAAGATATGTTTGATAGAGACGCTAAATCCCTAGTTGAGTCCATGAGGAATTGTTGTATGTGCTTATTTGAACACACTTGTGTGTGATAAGTTGCTTTATGACTTTTAGATATAGTGACTTAGGGACTGCGAGACAATTCTTGAGACGAGTATGAGTAGATGTGAAAGTTAATAGAGACCTATACTACTCGAAGCGCATGACTCACACTTGGATCAGGGAGAGTCACAAAGTTAGTATAGTTGAGCTCATTTATTCGATTTTCATCATTACCATCATTTCAGTGATGACTACGAAGATGATTTTCGTTCGGACCCTAGTGGTTATTGAATCCGATTAACATTTGCGAAGTGAGCCGATTGGTTTGAAGAACCATGTCTAGAGTAGTGGCCAACTTTAGTCGAAAGATTGGAGGAGAAGATAATCGGGGCGATTGACAGAAGGATTGCATCCTTCATTAAGACAAAGCAGCTTGTAGCTAGAAATGCTACCTGTTACGAGGATATTAGATCACATTAGAACATGAAGGAATGTTACTTATGTGATAACGCTTTACTCATAGAGACAAGAGTCTAGCTCGTTAAGCATCTGTCGCGTTGGACAATGTAAGGTCATTAGAGTGTGACCATTCGTATTGTTACTTTAGCTAAAGTAAAGACCTTATATTGGCATGCGTCTATGGCCTAAATTTAAGAAGGAACAGGAGTCTCCAATGAGAATTGAGTTTCTAACTCGGATATTAGGACTGAAGGTCCAACACAGAATGAAGAACAAATGCAACTTTGAGCAACGCCATCAACTAAGAAGTCCAAAGAGTTGGACACTCGTTTGGCAAATAATAAGAGTTAGGATTGATATAGAGAGGATGAGAAGACGCATAAGGATGTTAGTTGTGCGTCAATATCCAGATACCTAAGATGTAGTCAAGATGATCAAGTAGAGCATGTCGAGGTGAAAGATAAAGAGAATATCGAGCCCGATAATTATTGTTGTTGCTAGTATTATGTTGGTAGACGACTGGGCTCTTGTCATGATCTTGATCAAACTATGGTTCTGATCACTTGTTGTGGACCTATAACCCACAGGTTGTAGGATCGATTGTGAGTAATAGCAGGAAGTGTAAATCCAAGTGAGAAGGAGAACCAACCATTGATGCAAAGAGTGCGAAAGGAAACTTGACTTAGGATTCGACGTCAAGATCCAGAAGAGTTGTAGTACAAAAAAAGACTAAGAGAGATCTATTAGTTTCGATTGTCGTTGAGTAGATGGTAAAATGGATCTTTCGGTTGTCAAGTGAGGACATGAATTCAATTATCGTGAGGGAACTTTGTGACATCCCCAATTTCATGGCCATAAAATACCGATTTAATTTATGCTTTTAAAATAAAATCAGAGTAATCCTTTGATTAAAAGAGTTGCGGAATTTGTTCCCAAAACAAAATATGATAAAAATTTATCAAAGCATTTCTTTAAAGAACTGTATTTTCATTATATAACAAAATCTCGGGATGTCATGTTCCGATACAGACCAAAAGCATAAACGGCACATTATAAGCCTTACAACAGTTATTTACAACTGCTGGCCTATAATCCAAAATATCTTGATAAGTTATCCAACTTACGCTCTGGTGCCACTACCTGTAACACAAAGAAAAATTGAGTGGGCCAGGCTTGGGAGCCTGGTGAGCATATAGGGATTTCAACCCACAATAAACAACTATATTAATTTCATCAATCAACAATAACCCAATTACCCATTCCCGTTATCCTGACTTTGTGTTCCCTAAAACAACTATCACAAGGGACCTAGCCTAAGGATTTTCATCGGGGCGACAACACATACATCGGGGGTTCCTCAACAATATATGTCAAACAAGGCAACCATGTGGGGGATGGAGTATAGCAATTGAACACCCAAGTTCAATAACACATACAGGTGACGAGCTTGCCAGCGTTCCACTGGACTGTCTAGAAGAGTCTGTGGTCGTCATCTAAACTCCGCTCAGCAACAACATCGAGGCCTCTCATCATTTTATTTAATCACACATCCACTATCTACCCATGTTTCACCCAACATAATTGTAGATACAAATACTTATACAACATAAAACATGTATAAAACATTCGTTCAACACTTATTTCAATTAAACAAATAACATATAAACACATAGCACGTATTTTATAGAGAATACTTTGTATCTATGTGTTAGAAGAAAATGAATATACACTCACATGATAAGATGATGCTCGGACATCACTTCGGCTCTTAAAGTAATATTCTTCGATTAAACCGGGATGTTCTCTAAAAAACCGAGCTTCACGTGGGCAGAGTTTCGGCTCGAAAACTCTTTTTCTCGGGATCTTCGGGGCTTCAGGACTTGTTTTGGAGCTTCGGGATGATACCAGGACTTCGGGGGTATTTCTTGCAAAGTAGAAGAAAGTTTAAGGGGTGAGAAATGAGAATTTAGCAACCATAAATGGCTGGCCTCACATCCTATTTATAGGAGGGGTCTGGCCTCGGCCACGCAGGGCGTTCCTCGGAGGGACGCAGCGCGTTCCGGAACGCTGGGCGTTCCTTCGGACACACCGCGTAGGAGCGGGGCGAGGTCCTCTATCCGATGCAAGTTGTGTCAGCTGCGACGTGGCCAATCCGAGGCCGAGCAATACGAACGCGGGGCGTTCCCTTTTGGATAAGCTTCGAATTTTTTTATTTATTTTTATTTAAAAACTTCAAAAATTCATATCTCTTGTATACGAGCTCCGTTTTTGACGTTCTTTATATCCATGCGTAGGTGAGACTATGCTCTACAACTTTCGTTTAGACTCCGTCAGCTAATTTTGAATTGATTTTTAAAGTTATATTTTTAACAGACCGGGACAGGAAAAGTGTTGGATATAGTTGTTGGATTAGTGTCTAAGTCCATAACTATAATTGGTATGTACTTGACCCGACTCGGCATGGTCC